CTAGCCGGGCGAGAGAGCAAGAGAAGAATAGAAGAATGAGCGGAGGAGAGCATGAAAGGTAGAGGAGGAGGCGAGGAAGGACGTAAAACAAAGTAACGACGAAATGCACTTCCCCCTTTACGCCGTCCCTGGCGCTCGCCCGGAGGGAAACGTCGAACGAAACGTTAAAAACTGGGAAGAGGAATGAGAGCGCGGGGGTGCTAGGTGGTGGCTCGTCGGTCGGTGGGCCCCGTGGAGGCGCAAGGAGGCGGAGGGTTGAGGGTGGGTTTGCTGTGGCAGGCGGGCCACCCTGGAAGGGTGCCGGGAGGTTATGACAGCCGAGGTATTGAGCGGATCCTTCGTTAAAAAAACGAGAAGCACCGTGCTGAGGCGCGTGGAACAGAGACGGCGAGGGAACGAGAAAGCGAGAGGCCAAGAGGGAGAAACCGAAAGCGAGCGAGGGGCCGAGAGCGAGCGGGAAAGGAAGACGAAAAAGGAGGTGGTTCGCGGGAGATGGAGAAAGAAAGAAAGAGAGAAACCAGAGCAAGCGAGCGAGAGAGAGAGAGAGAGAGAGAGAGAGAGAGTGCACGACTGCCGCCGCCACCGCCGCCGCCGTCGCCGCTGTTGCTGCTGCTAGAGGCGGTGGAGGTGGTCCAAGGGGTGAGACCAAGTAACCGAATCCAACGCACCCTTGCCTCGCGTCCATTGCCTCCCCCCAACCGGGAAAAAAACCGAGTGCACCATCTCTCCCACTTCTCCTCATCTTCGTCCTCATACTCCTTCTCGACCGCCCCTGACTGCTCTTCCTGAAGCAGTTCTACCCTTCCTCCCCGGTCGCGTCGCACTTCTATCTTACTCGTTCGTCATCGGCTTTCCTTTCGTCTCGAAAAAATTCTCCGATTTCAAACGACGTTTCCCTACTTACACGAGTCGACCAAATTTTCTTCGAAATCTTTTTTGTTTTCGACAAACTCGATGGCTCGGACGCGTAGTAATTAGGCGAGCAGATATCCGTTTCGTTGGAGTTTTTCCACTCGAGCAGTCCTTCCCCAATAAACTTAACCGCATTTTTTCAGTCGACTTCGTCGGTACTCAAGTTATATCGTTCAGTTCGCCAAGTGCTCGGCACGATCAAGACCACCCGAAGTTTCCAACAAATTCCACTTATCTGTCCATTTCCTAACCCATGCACGCTTTGTTTCGTTCGGTTCTTCAATTTCCGCGGGCGAAGTTCCAGCAATATTTTTGATAATGGAGTTGTTTATCTCCTCGTGATTTCGAAAACTCGACTGTACTAATCCGTACACTTTTCTATAAGCTAAACCGCTTAGTAGCAGCCTTACCAACGAGCATCGTGGTCTGACGATGAATGTAATGATTCTACTTAAATACAAGTTGTTCGTGGCATTACTAACCAGTATTTTCTTCGTAAATAATAATTATGTCAGAAAAGTATTGTCACCTTTTACAACCAACATAATAGCGTACATAAATTTTTGTATATTTGCAATAATTTTCAAAAAACAAAGTTATATCGATAAACGTAATTTGCATTTTGCATTATTAGTTCCCCAAATGCTACTTTATTTTTATTGCATGAGACCTGCGATATCTTCGAAGCAAACTATTTGTCTCGCGTGACCACACGGACAAAAATCGAATGATTGTGCAGGTCAAGGTATCGCTCCATCACAGCCAAACATTCATAGTGCACATTTAAGAACTGGCATGCATTTCTACCGTAGTATAATAGCGTTCCAATATATCGAAAACTCTTTTTCCAGTCAAATCACTAGTATATTTAACAAATAAATTCTTCATCGAGCCGAAGAAACATAAACAGTGGCGTGGGTGATTCCGTTGGAAGTATCCCTAACGCTGATTGATGAATCGAGGACAATATTTTATCCTGACTCATAAATTCACGCTCCACCTTTGTTGAAAGTGTCTTCCTTCCTTACTGTAGTTCGATAACGACTGATGGTTAATATTGGTAGTACGCGTGGCAATCCTGATACTAAACAAGACCTGACACTGTATCGTGTGTAAAAGCAGTCACAGTAGCTGCCCGTAGTAAAATCCATTACGCCAGGCATCGATCATTTGCACGCGTGCCGGAGTGATTTTCAAATTCATTTTTCTGGATGATAAAACTCGACACCACGAAAAGTTGTTTTATCGTTTAAACCCCCTTGTCCCACTTAGCACGCGTACGAATCGATCGAAATGGAAAACGATATTTTGATCGAAAGAAAGTATCGTGAAGGAATAGTTTTGGCACCGATACGAAGCCAACAAGATTCCGAGGGAAACATTGCGATAGATTGTAGGGTTGTAGGCGTTGCTCGAATCCTCTTTTGGAAAATCCAAACCCAAGGTGTTTACACGTTGCCTATTAATTATAGAATCGTATCGATCGACCCTTCGTGACTTTCCACGAGCGTAAACCCGAACACGACCTAGATGACAATCTACGGTCGGGAAATTCGCGATCGCAAAACGGAGCGGACCGTTACCAGGAAATACTTTAAAATCGCGATTACGTCGGTTCGAAATCGACAGAGCGCTCGAGATAGCGCAAGACCGGCGTGCAGAAGCGAAAGAAAAACACGGACGGAAAAAGCCGCGTAGATGTACTTAAGGAAGCGAAAAAGGAAAAAGGGGCAGCACGAGGGATAGGGAGGGAAGGTGGGACAGGGGAATCGAGACCGTTTGTTCGTCGTCGGAAATGCAGGCTGGACACGGAAGGACGGAAAGCGAAGCGAGTGTGTGCGAAGCACTCCCCGGATTCGCGTAATGGGAAAATCGATTAGGAACCGAGCGAGTAAGGTGACCGTCCAAGATGTACGGATACACCGCGAAGAGTTATTAGCTCTTCTATATCCGGGGAATTAACCGTCTCGTAAAAAAAGAAAGGATAAAAAAATATAAACGAATCTTTGAAATTACGTCCAATGAGAAAATCCGCGCGAAAAATCCGTGCGAACCGACGTCGAGCAATTTTACGTTTTTCGATGCTTCGAGAAATTGCGAGGATTAAAAAGAAAGAAGAGAAATTAGTTGGCGACTGGATCGAACGATCGGAACGTAAAATCGTAGAAAGAGACGGAAAGCTCCGCGACCGAGTAATACTTAATACGGTAAAACTCAAGCGTCTTAGAACTCCGGCCACTCCAAGGTACTCTAAGAGTCTAGTCACTTTTCCCTCGCCCAGCATGCCTGCGAAGGTTCAATGACATCGGTAGAAGCTCCGGTACACGTACACAGAGGCGCGCACCGAGCCGAAAGTAGAACGCGTGGCGAAGGCGTTCGCTCTTTCTTTCCGACAATTGGACACGGTTGACGGGAAAGCAAAGGGGTTACGAAGGGGCTGCCGATGGAATTCTCGCGATTATTTTATTCGTCGCGGAGAGTTTCGGGTCCGTGGGCGAGTGCACGCGTGTCGACGACGAATGTGGAGCACGCTTAGAATCGCAGAACCGAGAGCCTCGGTGCGTTTCGTCGATATTGTTCCCGTAGGCTTACCTACGACGAGTATGCAATCGATCTTTCAGCGTCAGCGGTATCGGCGTGTTAGCCCACGGCTAGCTTCTATTCACCGAGTGGCGTCCGTGCGCGAGCGGAATATCAACACCGAGAATCAAACGCTTTTAACGAACGCCACGCCGCCGCCACCGACGCTGCTCCGATTTTGATCACCTGCATCATACGTCGTATCAACGAAATACTATCGATCATGTCCTCTTGACGAGCAGACGAAGATCGATCCCAACTGCACGGGGTCGCGTTTACGTCGTTGAATTATCGGCTAATAGGGAGGCGTTACTTCGTGGAACCGTTGCACGCGGATCAATGCTAAACACGGAGGGCGAGATCCTGGACGAAAAAACACGCTCGAAAGCAACGGGAGGAGGGAAACGCTCGAGAGGGAAAGTGTTTACCCGCGAACCGGCCCAACCTCCTGGTATTAAGATTTAAACGCGATTCTCGGTACTTTTGTTCTGGGAGCGTCGCTACGGACCAACTTCTCTTTCCGTGGCGCTATCCCACCCGTGTCGTACGGGTCGCCACGTGCAGCCGAGTTTCGTTCAAAAAGTTTCTTTCGCGCGCGCGTGTGTGTGAGAGAGTGAGAGAGCGAGTAGAACGGCGGGAAAGGGAGAGAAGCTGGCAAGGAGACCGATAGAAAGGGAGAACGATAGCGAGGGCGAAATAGGGGCAGAATTAGAAGATGTTTGATTTTCGACGGCAAAGAGGAAGTTGGGTGAGCTATTAGAACGGGTATCTCGGCAACGAAGGCAATGGAACGGAGGAGTTTCGCGATGAACGCAAGAGAATCAAGGGGCTGGCATGGCAGGACAGTGGAGGAGAGGCCGGGGGGTTAGGTGCGGGCGAGGGTGAGGAGGATGGGGAGGGTGGGTGTCGAGGATAGAGGCAACCGAGAAGGAAGGAGGTGAACGACGGACGAGAGGGGAATAGGGCAAGTAGAAAGGACGAGGGTGTCCGCGGGGGCGGATGAAAGGACGCTTACCAGCTACTACCTATTGATCGCCAATTCTTTTTCTCTTGTTGCATATTAGGCGCACTCTGCCTCCTCTCTCTTTCTGTCGGCGGTGCGCTCTCCCACCCCCTTGCCGGCGTAGAGCGCGCGAATCCGCCCCTATAGCTACCTTCCGACCACCCTGCGCGCCTCTTCCTCTTCCTGTTCCTCCTACCCTTCCTGCCCATATCGCGTCACCGCGCGAGAGTGCGAGCCGCCCCTACCTTCCTACCTACACCATCGGCCCTGACGTTCCCTTCTTACCGGCAATGTTTCATTTCGAGTAGCAGTACCCTTTCTGTTTCGGGGTGGGGCCGACACCCTTTACCCTTTACACGCAGGTGTCACGACCTGCCTTTCGCTATCTCCGACATACCCCGCGATCCCCGTCGCGGCTGCGCCGATCCACCGCGATCTACGGATCGATCGATCGACCGTTTCACGATCCGCGTGTAGTAACGATCGTTCGCGTTTTTTGTTGCAGGTGACGTCCGGTGAATTTCGGTCGGAAGGAATCCCCGCGAGAGGATCATCATCGGCGGGTCGAGCGTCCAAGGCGAAATTGGATCGAGCGAAAGGAGAGCAACGACGGAGGAAGTAAAAAAGAGGACTTGCCGTCGGCAACAGACTGCACTCTCGCACCACTCAGGGCGCAAGCGTGCACGTGTGTTGTGCGTTCCCGTGCCCTAACCCTGTCTCAGCACGAGGGAGTAGTCGTTTCTCCGCGGTCCCATCCCTACTCCGCCAGCATCGCCGCCGTTGCCGCCACCGTTATCGCCACCGCCATCGCCACCGTCACCGTCGCTGCCGTCGGCTCGCCATCCCTCCGACGATCGCGAAGAAGCGCCGCCACAGCCGACGTAACGACGCCGGCGACAACGACGACGACGACAGCGACGACGACGACGACGACGACGACGACGAGGAGTAGGAGGGGGACGAGGACGAGGACGATAACGACGACGACTACGAGGACGAGGACGAGGACGAGGACCACCAACGGGCCCCCACCATCGGCCCTCGACGACTTTGGCGGTTTCTGGCTTACGCTACGTCACGCGTGACGTCGCTCCCGGCGCGCACGTTCGAGCGGCAGTGTGCACGCACGCTAACTTTACCCCTTCGCGTCCTCCTCGCAAATTCACCCCACGTTCAAGCCGCGCGCTGAACAACAGAGAAACACCGAACGGAAGAACGACCAACGGAATCGAGAGGGGAAGATCGAAAAAGCCGGTCAACCGAAGGAACAAAGAAGACCATCGCCAGGAGGAAAAGAACCAGGAGGCGGAGGAGAAAGAGGAGGACGAGGACGAGGACGACAACGGCGACGACGACGACGACGAGGACGGAGGACGGCCGGCGGCGGAGGGGGTGGATATCCACGCGGGAACACGAGGCAGGCGCACCCGGCCGGCACGCACACACACACATTCTAAGATGTGATTTCAAAAATGGCGGATTGCCCCTATGCCCGCTGCATACAGGAACGCAGACACATCCGACGGGAGCTGCTGCGATGGACAAAGAATATGGTCTTCGTAGTCGGTGAGTTTAAACGCGACCAACGGTACATTTCTAGGCCACATACACCGTTTCGACCGGAAGCACGCGTTCGTTGCACGATCGCTATGGATATCCTTAGACAATTTTCGCCCGAGGAACAACCCGAATTCGCACCGATCCTGCACCAACGGTTCTTAATGGCCATCGCCCACACCCCCTTACTGTCCTTTACGCACCAGTATAAAAACACGTTTGGAGGTTTACCAATTACACGTCAGAATTACGTTTACCAAACTTGGCGAAGTATGCCATGGTTATGAAACATTTCTTTCGAACACGAATAGTACGAAGGTTGCGAAGGTGGTCGAGCAGACGCCTTTGGCTAATTCAACGCCAAATCGATCACCTTTTGTCAGGGATTTTGTTGAAATTTAAATACCACGAAGCCCGACGTAAAATTAATTTAAATCATCGTCAAAAACTGAAAGTCCTGTATTTCTCAAACAAATTCGAATCCTGGAAAACGATGAATCAAACCCCTTCTAACATTTTACATGCCATGGAATAAATCCTTTCAATCAGTTTTAGCACGAGTTTCGTGCGCGTCTTTATATTTCTCGCATAAAAGTTTTTAGTAATCTCGAGGATACGCGTTGATCGTTAGATATTCATATATGGATAATAATATTGCCGACAACAGTTTCTAATTGCAAGCGATCAAGTTTATTTGCAAGTCACTGTACGTTCCGCGTGGTAAATCCCCGAATGTGTCTGGGATATATAGATGCAAGCGTGTGAGTTGACTATCTGTGTGTCGATGCGGAGAGATAGAGAGAGAGAGTGGACGGATGGCGAGAGGATGAGGGGCGGGCGGGTGAGATAGGGGTCAAAGAGGGGAAGAGGGAAAGATAGAGAGGGAAGCAACGCCGGTGGTGAGACCTGTTGCGAACCGAAACGCCGAATCCTGGTTGACTGTGAGCCAGGCGTGACTCCTACTCGTGTCCGTACGTTCAACAGGGTGGTTGCATGCTGTCGAGAAACATAGCGACATTTCGCGCGTGTACCTTACTCCCAGCGTTGGTAAATTTTACGATTTTTTCGCTTCTCTGTATACGTTCCGCGGAATATTTTCGCCCTCGTCGTTGCAGCAACGAAAAACCACCGAATATTCCCGGTGTCCCGAACGATACGATTTCCGTGAGATTTCAAAGATTGTATCGCAACGATTAAAATTACGAACGTAATTACAAAAGACTAGAATAGTGTTGTTTCTCTTGTGTCGGGGGTGGAAGGCGTGTCACGCGATAAAGTTAGGAGAGATTGGTTCGATCGGGTCGTAAGAGTTTTAATTAGGGCAGAGTAAAAATTCGGTTCGAGTAAAGCGAAACGATAAAGCGGAGAGCTCGCATAACAGCTTTTTATCCTTCCGCACCCTTGTACGCCGGCGCCTCACCGCTAATGCCGCCGCCACCGCCGCCGCCGCCGTCGTCACCACTACTTACACGGAGTCGTACACACGGGAGTCAGCCGCGCAGAGAATACTGCACAAGCTGCGTGCCTTGACCACAGACAACCAAGCGATCCCGGCCGCCGCCCGAAACCTTCTTTTCTTCTTCTTACTGCCTCCCTTCTTCCTGCTCCCTCTTCGCTCTTCCCGATCCGCATCCCTCTGTTGCCCGCTCGTCGCTTACGCCCCCACCATTGTCCTCGTACTCCCCCTTCTATCCCTCCTCCGCCTTCGGGTTAGTCCGTCAAGAGAAGAGTTCTCCGCTACTCGTAGAAGGCGCGTTTCCACGCGCGCTGCTGTTGCGTGCACTCGCCGTTACGCTTCTTCCTCCACTTTCGTAACCTCACCCTTCTTCGGTCCCTCCTCCTCCTCCTCCTCCTCCATCTCCTTCTCCTCCGCCACCTCCATCATCCCCGTCGGCCTCGGTTCGCTGTCCCTACTTCTCTCTTCTCGTTCGCGTCTCTCCTCATTTCGGAACGCAACTGCCGCTGGTGGTCGAGAAATTTTCGCGAGTCCTTCCCTCCATCCACCCCCGTCGCTTCGACCCTTCCCTCGTCGTCCACCCCGCGCCCTCAGGCCCCCCCCCCTCGTAACCATCCCTCCCTCCCGCCCGCCCCGGTACCGTCCTTCGATTTCCTCTCCCAAACCCGTGTTCCTACTTTTTTCTCGTCGCCGATCGGTTCTCCTTCTCCGCCGCGAAGATTCTAAAAAGGAAGGTGGTAGTGGTTCTCGGTCGAGAAAAGGAGAAAGAGAAAGCGGAAACGCGGGGTTGCACACGGTAGTGCGAGCGAGCGAGTAGCCGCGTGTGTGCACGTCGGAGCTCCGCCGGCGGCGTACTCCTCTCGAGACTTCCATAATCTTCGGAGATCGACCAGTACGTGTTCGGGAAAGGGTGACGGAGGGTAGCAGGCTTGAAACCGAGCCTCGACGAGCCGTGACGCGAGTACCCTCAGTGCTTGCACCAGCGCCAGTTACGCTGGCTATTCCATGGCGGCGGAACGTGGCCGGATCCAAGTCAAGTGTACGACGCGAATGCCGGAGGATTAGCCCTGTTGGTGTGTCAGTGTTCGTCGGTTCAGTGTTCGACCGTATTTCGGACAGAATCAAGATGCTGATGCACACGGCCAACCTGTGAAAACGACCGCGACGACCGTTCGTTCTCACGCGATCAGCCACTATCGCGACCTGTTACGTTGCACGTGTTGCTGCTGCTCGTACACGTAGACGGCGGTCTCGCTCGGTCGTACGCGAGATGATCGATACCGACCGCGTGGGATTTTTCACCAGTTTCGAGTGCGTAAAGATCCGTCGCGTAATCTAGGATCGACGGATTTCATTCCGCCCCCGCGATGCCCGTGATCGTTCCGTGCGCGTCAACCATGGAACCGAACGTGACGAGACGACGTTCGTTTCCACCGGCGATCCAACCGTTCGAATCGATGGACGACGCGACGCTGTTCCGCGAACGTTTCTCGCGTTGCCACTACCGGCAGTAGCGATGTCCGTACGCATCCTCGCAACGACGTCGCATCGCCCCACGATAGTGGACATTGCTAGGAACAAGAAGACGTAGACGAAGAGTACGTATATCGCATACACACAGACCCACGCTACCGCGAACTCGAAAAACACTGCGCAGCCACGTGTATCCACCACCACCACCACCACCATCACCACCACCACCACCGCCGCCGTCGTCATCACCACCGACGGCATACGTTTCGTTTCTCTCGCCGATGAAAATTTCACGACGAATCGGAACCTTTGCGGTTTGTCCCGCAAACTTCCTACCGATCGCGCGTGATAAAACGCCGAGCAAAGAAAAGGTTCGACGGTAGAGAGAAAAAAAAAAGTTTGTTTACGTCGTTGATTGCTCGTTAGATCGTGCAAGACAAACGAACGCTTTGCGAGGTGCATTTTCCGCTCTTTGCCCCATTGAGCACCCACACCCCTCGTTTCTAAAAAACGCTCGCCCCTAAGGCGCGCGCGATAGAGGAGAAAGAGGTAAGGAAAGGAGCGGCGAAGAGGAGAAGGAATGTTCGGGTGGGTGCAGTTACTGCTGATCGTTAAAAGGCGCATAAAAAAAAGGTCGCGAGAGAGGGAGGCGAGAGGAAGCAGCAGCGCGAGAAGTAACAATAAAAATTCGTGGGCATTCGTGTTTCGTCGCCGAGGTAGGAGCGCGACGTTCAAGGGGCGAAGGGACGAGCGGGCGAAGGGGGCGAGAGGAGAACGAGAAGAAGGAAGAGGCCGTCGGTGGGGTACGGGGGTGGGGGTAAGGAGGGTCAGGGGTGATCAGGGCGATGGGTGGCGGTGCAGGCGCAGCGAGGGTGGCGGTGGAGGATGGGTATGGCGGAGCAGGGTGCGTAATGAAACGATATTGAGTAGCCGTGGTAGGGAGGCTGGTGGCGAAGGGTGGGGGTCGTCTTCAGCCCTCTCCGTCGATTGACCTCGCTTCGACGAGGCGCGGCGTGGCGAGGCGAGGCGAGGCGAGGCGAGGCGAGGCGAGGCGAGGCGGCCGAGGAGGGTGAGGTGAAGCGAAGCGAGGCTAGGCAAGCCGTCGTGGCTGGGGGTGGGGGACCAAGTGAGACGAAGCGAACCGAGGGTGGGGGCCAGTGGCACACAGGGGCGGACGCGACAAGAAGGGTGCCTCGGTGGGGGCGAAATGCCGAGCGATCCTACGTGGCCTACCGGGAAGGGAGGCCAAAGTTAAATTGACGAAAATGACGCGACACCTTCTTTTTGTCTTTGCCTACCCTCCGACGCCTTGGAACGCCTTCCGAAAAACTTCAAAGCGACATTAGTACTCTCAAGAGCATGACGTAACGAACCGCGGTGAAGAGAACCGGCAGAAGGACGACTTTGTGGTTACCGCGGAATGGCACTCTATCAAACGACCCGACGACGACTCGATGTTCAATGTGAGTTTAATTCCTGTGCGACGTTTGATATGCTCTCCCATTATTCTTACGCATATTAACGTATTCGCGCATCAGGAATTATTAGGTTGGTGCGTACGTGAAAGCATCCTTTTTATTTATCATCGAACAACTAAAATTAGTAGAAAATCAAAGACGCGTATCTTTCTTAAATCTGCGCTGCAAGTTTAACGAAAGTAGGCCTCGCGCGATTCGTTGCACTTTCTATCGTATTGTTTTTCCCAATTTATCCTATAAAGACCGATGTCCGTTTATTTCTAACGCTTCGTTCGCAGTTGTATTTAAAAAAATAGTTTTACCTTGTCCCGTTGCACGCTGGGACAAAACCCATTTCTGGTGCAGCAAAAATAAGCGACCGAAACTTAATCATTTTTGTCGTCTTTGTAATCAAAATTCCTAACTTAATTCATTCAGAACAAGTCTCATAAATTTATACTTAATTCCCAGAAAAAGATCTGTTCCTATAGTAAAACTTTTTCAAGTATTAATTTATTTCTGCTCCACTAAAAATTTTTCATTTTAATTAGTCGCTTTTACCAAAGGTAGCGTCTTTTATATTTGTGACAGGTAATATAAGTTGTCTAACTACATATATCTCT